GGACTCTTGTGTATCTACATTTTGAAAAAATAAAATCATTGTATGAAACTGCTGTCTAAGTTCAAGATAATTACCAGCAAACAATAATAAAATAACTGGTTAATAAAAAAAAAATTCTTATGCCAGTGATCCTCAAGGTAGAGGTGGGCCTAACTGCACCTTCAGGAGCTTTGCAGCCAACCTCACTGGCATTGTTCACTACTCAGTGGGAGATTGGTGAAAAGTTCCATAGGTTAACTGGAAAGATGTAGCTTTTCCACCATGTATGTTCTAAATGTTTCTACCCTCTAGTATGTAGTAGGCACTGCATCTGCTGCCACTGCAGAAGTAGTTTACAAATTTCCAAGTGGTAGAAGCAATATTTATACTAATCTTGCTAATCTTGCTTGATAAGTTTTTTTTAAATTTTATGTCTATTTAATCACAAAACAGAAGAATCACAGAAGGCAACTTATTTATTAGTAAATATGCCTCAAGAACTTACAGGGATACAGACAAAAAGGTTAGGAGAATTTTGAGAAATATTAGATATTTATGTGAGTAATAAAAGTTAGAACAGGGGATAGGCACTGACTCAGATAATAAGGGTTCAATATCTAAGGCTTGCACTCTTCTTGTATAACTTCCAGAAATTAATGTATGTATGTGTCTTAGTTCCTCTCCTATGAAATGGAGATAATTCCTGATGTCAGAAGGGGCTATAGCATAAATTAATTTTGTTAGACAACAAAGCTCTAGAGATCAAGAGTGAAGAAATATTTTGTTACTCCTTGTAAAGTCCAAAGAGGCCAACCAGGCCTAGGAAGCTATTATTTCAAGCACCATATGTTCACAGGACATGGACAATGTTCAAAAGGATCTAACATATATATGACAAGACCAATAAACAAAGATGAAATGAAAGCAATCGATTTCAGAGTGAACAAATACAATTTAAGGTAGGCAGATTTTAAGAGGTGGAGAAATGAATTAAATGATACCTCAGCAACAAGTGCACTAGTGTGCTCTCAGAGCTAGTAACAAAATCTAATAATGTTCTCCCAGGACACCTATAAACAGAGAGATTGCATTCATATGTTTTCATTCCATTTATTGCTACTGAGTCATGTGGTTTAATTGGTCAGATGAAGGGTAATCATCACTTGGAGAGAGGGAAGGTTTTGTTAAGCAAACCTCAAGTTATGATTTATTTATTTGCTAGTCTTTAAAAGCTGGAATGCCCAGAATAATTGCTCTGTTTAATAACATATGCTTGCCAAGTTGATCTTGCTTTAGAAAGTTTCTCTCTCATAGTACATGTAGCAGTTATCTGTACTAAAAATAGTACCTTTATAACTAAACTATGAAAATATATTACACTGAGAGAGAAACATTTCAAACAATTTACTCCAGCATGTTAAAGAAAAATAATTGTACTTTGATCTGCTTTTGGCCAAGAATGATAAGGACAAAGAACATGTAAACTGCTGCACTGAGTTGTAAAGTACAGGTACACAATGTCACAGAGAGAAAAGATGGAAATGAGATGTTCTTTCAAAAACCATTGTACTTATTCCTTTTCAAATCTGTATCCATCATTGGTCATTACAAGAGACTTCAGTGTTAGCCTCAGGCAGCAAAGAAATTACTGGCTTTAAAGTTTGAAAATATTGTAAACGTGATATAAAATAGTCCCTTCTTCAAAAGTAGATACCAAGACAAGAGAATTTTTATTATGTAGAAAAATTTTCAGAAATCTTTTAAATTCCAAAGCTTTGGGTTTTTTTCAGGCAGAGGTAAAATGTCTAATGGCCTGCACTAATACACCTCAGATGCAAATATTTTAGATCTGAAAGAAATGTAAAAAAATTCAAAGATTGGTAATGATTAATAGTCACCAAAGCAGTTTCTCTTAAAGTAACTGGAACTGGGAAGTGAATATTCTTCATGTTTAGAATAACATTAAATTTCAGTTTCACTTCAATGAGTAATTTGCAAAGGTGACTCTCAGATGTTAAACGCAAGAATAATAGGCTTTATGATTTCATAAGAACTAAACAAAGGCCAATAAATTTTGATTGAGATTCATTGATATCTTTTTATAAGATGACACATCAATAAACCACTATTCAATCTGCAGACCTGTCTTTTGCCTGAGCAATTTCCAGATTTAGGTCCAGAGTTTGAGAGTTAAGAGATTTCTGGATTAAAAAAAGATAAAAAGTAAAAGAAAGGGTTCTTCATATGTGAAGCAGCTATTTCTTTGAGGCATGTAAACAACAGGCGTAGATAAGTGTCTGCTGGCCAGAACAGCTCCAAGCATTGCTCCTTAAGCTTAACATCCCATGTGCTGTGGAAACTGGAGTTTGACCTTTTGCTCCGTCTCTTCTGGGCAAATGTTTTTGCATGATTTAGTAGAATGGTTATTTTTTATGCAGATGACTGTTAGCCATGCTCTAAGAGGCAAAGAGAGATTTCTGGTAGAAATGAGCTCTATCAGCATGGCTGAATAAGCAGAGAGATTCTTCCAGCTATCCTAGTTTTAGGAGACTTGAAAAAAAATCAGAAAATGAGATTTATTCAATGCATATTTGTTTTCATTCCTATGGAGTTCCTATAACTACTATTGAAACGGTTAATAAAACAAGGAATAAATCATGTTTGTAGGTGCTGAATAGCTTTAGGAGATTTAGATTCAGCTATGTGAGATTTGCTAGGATCTCTTTGGATCTCTTCTGAAGTTTTCATAGAGAAACTCTTTACTTTCTCACAACTGCTTGAAAGTTTGTGCCACTTTGTGAAAAATCCAGTTTGTATGGGAAAGTAAAACCTTAGAAAACTCCAGAGAATCAGCAGTTAAGTCTATTTAATTACTGTGGCACTTTATTGTGGTATGTCAGAGATCTTATAATATCTTATTTTAATTTTACTTCTCATGAAGATACAGAAAATCAAATCTCACTTTGCCAGTGAGCTTTAGCACTAAGATGTAATTGCCATATACCTACAGATTTTAGAAGTGAGGAGTAGAAGGATTAAGATTACATAATAAAAGCTTCTCTGAGTTTGTGTATATTTTTTATAATGCAACTGAAATTCATATTTATTACCAGTACACCTTTAACTAAATTGCTCCTCTACTGCAAAGAATTACATATTAGTACTATTCTAAGTAATAAAGATTCATATAATTTTAAAATTTCTTGCACAAGTGTTATCTCACTTTTAATGGTACAGATGTTATTAATTCAAATGATATTTTTTCTTAGATAGCATAGAAGTTCCTGTTCAGTTTATGAAGTTGAATTTATATTCAAACCTTTAATATTACGTACTCCAATGGAATGATAATTTTCCAAAAAATACATTCAAAAAGTGACTTTAGAATTAGGCTTTTGAATATGAGCTTCAGCATTTTTGATCTCAAGTAGGCCTATATGCATTTATGATGTATTTCAACATTTATACAAGGTTGTCAAAGCATACTGCAAAGGGAGGTGCTGGGAGATGCGGGCACTGAGGAGCGGAGCCCGTGGAGCCGGGCCGCGCTCCAGCACCGCGGACAGCGCCGGCCGAGGGTGACACTGGCGGCACTTCGCGGGGAAACCCTCACAAGTGTGAGCCGGTCTGTATAAAGGAGTATTTTAAGGAAAAAGTTCCTTAAAGTCAAACTAGAGCGCATTTTTTTGTGCCAACGGGATTTCTAAGGGATTTCAGTCCATGCTCGCACAATAGGTATTTTGAACTATTATTATCACTGCTTGCACTATTTTAGTATTTTGGAGTCCTTTCAGGGTCCAAGATCCCAAAGCAGAGCTTGAACAAGCATGAAAATGGATCATTTTCCTGGGACACCCCAAGGCTTTGGAATAACTGTGATGAGTGTTTTAAGCTGACCAAAATATCCGTCATTACTCAAATGGACTGTCTCTTCAGCTACTCCCTTGTGTTGACAACACTGATTTTGTGATGAGTTAGATCATGGTTCCCAATTATAAGTACACAGTTTTCATCTAGATCCATTCCTAGTTAACTCTGCACTTGTCTCCTCCCCCAGGCCCCATGTTTTGGTATGATTAAATTTTCCTCCACAGCTGGGAATTGCTGAGCCAACCCCACATGCAGGTGGCTGCTAGCTGTGTGATGTGACAGAGCAGGTGTACGTGATAGAAATAGAAGATAAAAGTAGAAACAGTCAGCTACACAGCATTCCAGTGTAAGGTATCCTTTAGTAACACTAAATCCAACACTGCTATTATAGGAATTGTGGCTAGAGACAACTGGGGTGAGGCAGTCAATTTGTACATTAGTCTTTTACAACTAAAAGTATCCAGAATACCAAAGATCAGTTCTAAGATGCTATAAAATGCAATGGAACCTTGGTTTAAAGTAAATAAAACAACTCACCTTAAACACTCTTTATTGAGCAATAATGTAATAGTTCTTGCTACATCCAAACATTCATTCCTTCTGTCTTACTTAACAACTTCATTTTTCTTCTTGCTTTCAATAAATATATAAATGTCATTTGTGTTTTGCAGGATTAATAATCAAAGGAAGAAAATCTGCACACTTACTAGCCACTATATCTGTAGTGGGGAGTAGTGCACAAAGAATGATTTATTTCTAAACAGAACATGCATTAGTACATAGTAAAATAAAGATATCTGGCAGTTCCTTGAGTTTTCTGCAGTTATGTGTATACTGATGTATTCAAATATTTACCTCATTGTAAAAAAAAAAAAAAAAAAAAAAAAAAAAAAAAAAAAAAAAATCCGGTTTTGTACTTTAAATGTTAAGGCAGTTGTCAGGAATTGGTAAGGACTGCTCAGTGTTGCCGTTGCTGTAGTTAAAGCTGTGTACTCGAGGGTACCGCGGTGCTCAAGCTGTGCGGGCAGGGTGTGCGGGCTCCAGCGCGCTCGGTCCTGCCAGGAGGTGGAGCCAGCACGGAATCCGCTGCCGCTTCGTTTCCTCCCTCTCCGCTCTCCCCCCTCCTTTTTTTCCCCCACGACCAATTTTCTGATCGATGCTGGGATTCAAGGAGTGAATCTCAGAACAGGAAGCAGGCGAAGAGACTACAGAATACTGCAGAGGCTCCTTTGTTGCTTTTATGGGGAGGTTCTTCATTTCTTTCCTTTTTCATTTCAGTGAAATCAAGAGTTTACAAGCTTCTTTGCCCAGGAACCTGTACCTGCAGTAGAAGGAGCCTCTCATCATCTATCTACAAGTGTATGGATATTTCTTATGCTATGATTTTTAATCCTCCTTTAATCAGGTAAGACAACATTATATTTAATTAGAATGCTAAAAGCCAACAAATTCTAGCTGGTTTTTACCAAGATTCTTCTCTTGTGGTGCCACACCTAGTTTTCAATTAATATTAATAGAGCAAGAGGAGAGGAAATAATAGCCATCTTTGCCACTGCATGGATTTTTCATAGCATTCAATCAGGTCTTAGCACAATTATGAAAAATAATGTTGCTCTTTGCAGCTTTCTGGTCCTATGTTTTTTAAGCGTGCATGTTCATAATAGGAATTATTTTTGAGTTTGTGGTTTTCATCTTAATTGTGGCAATTTGTTGCTGCTGTTTTAAGGTGGTCATCCACAAGTGTTTTCTTTTTCTGTGGGAGGCTATATTGGTGCTGTATTCTGAATACAAATTTGAATGTCTTTTAAAGCACACAACTGCATCTCTGGGATTGCACAATTTTGATGCAGAGATGTACTGTTGCTTCTTTATAGCATTTTCAGTGTGAGGCTGTCTTTACTTCATAAATTCATCAATTTTTTTTCTGTGAGGCATAGGAGATTTATAGGATTCTCCCCTCCCTCATCTCCCAAAACAGCCTCTCCCTGATGGAAGACAGAATGGAGGACTTGTCTGTGACTAAACATGGTTTTGCACTGCTGCATATACCATATGAAACACATCTGTTTTGTGACTTGTTTTTTTATATATAAGAATGAAATTTTTATTTTGAAACTTCACTCCATATTGCATGAGAGAGAAAAAAATATTCCTTTCATTATTTTTTTAGAAGCATGATACCCACTGGGAGAGACAGCAGAATGACTCAGGAGGTGGGAAGCTCATGCAGCACCCCCTGACTCTTCTTTCAAACCTTCTGGTCTTTTTTTCTACCTTCTCTTCATTACACCAATAATGGTTTTAGTTGGTAAAAACAACACAGAAATGCATTGACTTACAAAGTCATAGATCAGAGAAGGGTCTCAATAACCAGGTTGTGAAAAATACAGAGACTGTGCAATCAGTTTTTTCCCTGTTGCTTTCTATTATAAGGTGGTAAGTAGCACTTCATCAAAATTTTCACACACCTGTGAAAAGACAAACTTTTTTCTTTTTGTGGTGATTAGTGAAGCAACAGAAAATTGCCTTTTGGGATTTGAATGCTCGATGCTGTGTTGGCTTTAGATGATTCCATAGATACAAGTGAAACATTAAGAAGGTTCACACACATTCTCGCCATCTCTGCAGGTTGCCTGCTTAGCTGCATTTTTCTGATCAATGTTTTCAATATGCATTATCTGGTTATGGCTGAGCCATTGCAATGTCTGAAGGTCTCTTCAGTAGATGGTAAAGGTTCCTTCATTATTGAACGGATCTGGAGAAATGATGAATGATCATGTCCAAATATCTGCTATTTCCTCTGGTGACAAATGCATTAAATAATTATGCTCTCATATGTCTATAGGCCCCACTTCAACAACAAACAGACATGTCAATGGGATGACTCACATTCTCAATATTAGGGAAGCGGATAAATACCTGGCTCTGTTCTCTTGATTTTTAAACTGCACCAATTTTCAAAGAAAAAAATATTTGTAATAACAGAAATATTGCAGTGTTCATAAAATGCAGTTATTAGGTCAAATGGGCATGTAGCATCAAAGGTAATCTTTAGATGAACTCTTCTGTTTAAAAAAATAAAAAGAAAATCAATTGAGTTATCATAACCCTTAAAGGAAAATATTGAAGCAAAATTCTTACAGATTTTGAATATATTTATTGTGAACATTAGGTCTTGGCACATAAATGGCTGTATCATATCAAAGCCTGATCCAGATATGTTTGACTAGGAATAAAGTTGGATATTTCTGAAGGAGTTCAAGCAAAACTTGACCCTAAGAGAAAGCTATGTTGTGTGAAACTTAAGTATAGGGGCTATTAAAGCCTACTTGTTACTTTTGAATACTGAATTACTCTAAATTAAGTGTACTTTGTACTCATGTAAGCATCAAATCTCAACAGCAGAGACCAGTGTACCCACCCTGCAGCAAGAGCAAGAACAGCATCAGTTATGCTGCCAGGGCTGCTTCCTTGATTTCATCTCAGATCTGGATGAACAGATTTGTGTGGTCACTACCTGCAGCCCTGCTCCACCCCCAAGGAGCCCTAAAAACTCTCCCACCCAAGGGATGGAGAGAACACTGAAATCTAATATAGTCTATCTGCTTGACTCATACCTAGTAGCAACAAACGCAACCGTAATCCTGTTATGCTCTCAGCGGGAGCACAAAAAAATCTCAAGCAAGATTTTCACTGTGTTGCTTCCAATGTTTTAAGGCCATAGACATGCTCCCACCGGCTTCTCCAAACCACAGTGGATCCTTTGCAGCTGCAGACCCTGGTCTTGCACTCCCTGAGTGGAAGCAGCCTCTTGCCCATCAGAGCCTTCATGTTCCTCTCTCTTTGCCCTCGGTCCCAGCCTGCCAAGCAGGCATAAGGTATCCCAGGGCCTCCTTTCTAGAGGCTTCCTGAAGTCACTTGAATAAATTCATTTCTTGTTCCTTCTCTCATTTCATGGACACCCACCAGTCTTAGAAATGCTGGGTTAGCAGACATTTCTGCCAATGATAACTTGTATCTCCTGTTCCTCTGTTACTGTCTTTGAAAGACAAATAATGTACCTCATTTCCTAGAGGTGGGAAGGAGGAGAGGCAAATGATGTTGGGAATTACTAAATGCCTTACGAATTAAAAAAAAAAAAAAAAAAAGCTGAGGAAATAATCATTCTGTACTTAATGTGTACTTGGGAAGATATCCTGTAAAGAAGGTTTGGGACCAAAATACTGACAGAGAACAATTTAAAGAAACATTGAATAACTATATTCACACTCTTCAGTTCAAATTGCAAGTTTGCAACTTTACCTCTCTTATTTTTGCTTCTGAACCTACTATTGTTCCTTTTCTTACCCTTACCTCCAACTGAAGTTCAGCTGCTTCCTCTTTCTGCCTCTGGCTGGTCTGGGACCAGTAGAAGGGCTTTGCTTCCACTCCAGCTGTCAGTGCTGGGTGCCTCAGAAGTTCTCAGTATTAACTGTGCTGAAGGGGCTGCTAATGTAGAAACACAGCCAACACATGGCAGCTCTCTAAGTATTTATTACAAGCTGCTAAGAAGCTTTTTCTGAGCATATCTAGAAATTATTTTAGAGACATGTTAAATGGCCAGATTTCAATAAATTTAAACAGGAGCAACAAGACTCAAACTCATATTGCCTGAGCAGCCTACCTGATACAATCCAGAATAAATAGATTGTAGCAAAAGCTCTCAAAAAAACTGGCTGGAAATACATTTTAATGTTGCAGTATTACCACCATGCTTATTAAATAAACACAAACCCAGTTTTTAATCTTCCTATTAAAAAAACAACAACATAGATTAATCATTCTTGCCTGTTGTTTTTTAAACTTGTATATTAGGGAAATAATACTGTCAGTTTTTCCAATAAGCAGACTAAAAATGTATTTTTTCTATTTAATGGTGACGTTTTTGTTATAAGCATTCAGATGGAAAGAGGATAGATGAATCTACATTGTGAAGTTGATATTTACTTTCTATTTTCATTGAAGGAAGTATTTCACCATTTATAGCGCCATTAAAGAAATAAATCAAGTATCAACAATCAATATTTGGCAAAGCTGAAAGCATTATGAAGTGATTCACATAATGGAAACATTAAGCAAACAAAACTCTGTCAGGCTGTTCATATTATATGGAAAAAAAAATTAAAAATAAAAAAATTAGCAATAACTTCTTTTTATGTCTCTCGAGATGAAGTTCAGTGATTGTTCTGTGTGAAATTTTCTTAGGCTTTGTGCACTTGTGATCCTTCTTGCTGCTTGATTCTTTGCTTGGTTTCCGCTGATTTTGGCCAGATGAGTTATTGTTGTAGCTAATGCTAGTTGATCCTCACCATCTTTCTGGAGATCCTCACAGGTGGTTGCCATTATGCATTAAAAATGCAAACTGCCTTCACCAAGGAAGAGGCTCGTGTTCAATAAGATAATGATTGTTCCATGCAGGTTACAGCTACCTTACCTGCACAAACTGATGACAGACAGCATGAGCAGGCATGCATTTTGAGATTATGGATGTCCAGGTTTTGAATGTACAGCAAGGGATTTTCTGATGTGGCCTTGTCATATGAAAGGGGGTGCCTTTGTTTTATGCCATAAGGTGCTGATTGTCTGGTCTTAAATGGAGTTGTAACATACAGCTTTTGAGTAATTCAGATGCCAAACCACCTGCTCTAGCCAAAATATTGGGTACCGTTCAAGACTGCAGTAAAAGCAGGGTGGCAGCAGGTCCAGCCAGCCTTCAGCTTAGCACTTTGGTTTCAAAGGCAGCATTTGTGCTGTATGGAACTGTACAAGCCTACCTGATTATTTTGGCCTGTTAACTTCTGGCTCCATAGCTTTCTGGTCACCGATACTGAGCTAACTTAGTTAAAGCTACAATGTTTCCCCATCTACTGCTGTCATTCCTCTCACATCATGGTGAATGTTGCTTTAGTTGAATTATTACCAGCAGGCTTTCAGAGTGGGGCAGAAACAGTCCTCCTATCTGAATGGGAGGTAATTATGCATCATTTTTTTTCGATACCATCTTCACCATGTCTCACCAACCTCAGTGTAACTGCAAAATCCTCCACAGACTTTGATCCCAATGTAGTTTTGTTTGATGATAAATGTAAATGACTCACTCTGAAATTAGAAGTCTGACTCAAGTTCTCTAAAGCAATACACTGTGTTCTAGACTCACCCGTTTGTCTCAGTAGGATAACAGATATATTAGGAGCTAGATTCCATACATGTATACAAAATGGAGACAGATACAAATGGAGACAGATACAGGCAAAAAAATTGACAGTCTGTGATCTCAAGAAAAACAGTGGCCAGAGTTTCATGGATCATAAACTGTGGGGAGCAAGGTTAGAAAAAAGTGTCCTTTGTCTAGACACTGGGATTTGC